AACAAGCTGCAGGCTCATGGGAGGGTTTTTCAAAGACCTGGTAAAAGTAGCTGAGGGTTAAGAAATGATAGGGGGAAATAGAGGGTACCATACAGATGGCTAATTAACATCTTGTAAGACCTTTCACTAAAGCAGCTGGTTTAGTCACATGTCTAAGATTCACAGAATTTTTAGAATTGAAAGGGTTTTGAGAGACTATCTAGCACAACCCCCTCATTTTATGGATGGGAAAACTGAGGCCCGGTCAATTGCCCCAGGTCAGAGGGTTCACTACAGAACCAGGCTGTCAATTCACTGTGTTTTATCTCCCATCGAAAGTGACTAAATTTCCTCCTAAAATGACAGCTTAAGAGTGTTTTTCCAGTAGACTGGCATCAGATAACATCTTTATTGCTTTAAGATTTCTTTTAACATATAAACTATCTAGCAAGCACTTTGATTGTGGAAGGTCTTTAGCAGTAATGTTTCTTTATAATTATATCATTTTTACTATATAGTTCAGAATTATATTTAACACAGTAGCTCTAATCACCTTAACTTATCTGAAGTTTTAGATTCAACTATGCTTCTTTTGAAAACAGTGAGTTTCACAAAAACCAGACATTTGGGGATGGGTCTTTATGTTCTAGTCCCAAAACATGAATTATGTCCCAGTTCTATTCCCTTAGCCTAGTTTTCCTTCCCCACACCCACTGAACTGACTGATTAGCATATTCATGAGACAACTGATTCAGCTAAGTTAATTAGCAGTTTTACTACCAAAAAATTTCCAGAACTGGCCAAGAGGGGGAGCAGCAATCCCTGTCACTCTCATACTCTGGCTCTAAACCGATCCTAAGAGTAGACAAAAAACCTTATAGTATAGAAAAATACAGAAGCCAGTATTCACACATAGAAGAACACATTTAAAGCACAGGAGTGCCAGTGAAATGACTCAAATGACTCACTTGGTATATATAAGCTTGGCATATAAGCCTGACAACCTGAGTTAGATCCCCGGAACCCTTGGTGAACAGAGAAAACTGGCTTCTGAAAGTTGTCCTCTCATTTCTATACATATCCTGTAGCAGACATATACCCTGTGGTGGAGAGAGAGAGAGAGAGAGAGAGAGAGAGAGAGACAGAGACAGAGACAGAGACAGACAGACACAGAGAAAGAAAGAGGCAGAGAGAAAGAAAGAGAGACAGATAGACAGAGAGACAATGAATAAAATAAAAAGAAATAAACTTGAGAATTTCATTGTAGTGCAATATGGGGATGTTGCCAAATGAAGTGTTCTTTGTATTTACCTAGATATGAAAGCACACGCACAGAGGTTGGACTCTACAATCCAACCCCTAAACTATATATTATATATTCACTTGAGATATACAAACAATTGTAGTGAAAAATAGGACCTTAGAGACAAAGGAAGAAGAAAAGGGATTTGCTCTTCACATTGGATGACCTCAAAAATATCAAAGCTGGTACAGTCAATGGAGGCAGAGTTAAGTAAAAAAAAAAAAAAAACTGGGTCAATGAGGTGATTTCTGGTAATAGAAAGCTAACTCTGTACAAGACCCCATATTTTATTTTTAAGAGATTTACTATTACTGCTTAGTAACTTTTGGCTTTAGAAAAAAGTAGCACCTTATAAGTTTTAATAATACAGGAAGTCACTGGGGCTCAAAGTCATCTCTGTGAGTTTGCACTTTAAACATGGAGATGGCCACAGATGCTCCTTTGAAGTCAATGGACACACTATGTTTCCATGTGTTCTTTTGCTATTTCCTCACTATGCATCTCCATGAGTCTATGTATATAACCTTCCTGCCCTTTTTGGTTCAACAGCCACCAGCTTATTTCTCTGTCCAAACCCCTCTCTTCTGTTCACATCAAAAAACTAAGCTTTGGCTTTTTTAAAAAAAATAATGGTTTAGATAATTCTTTGGTAAAAGCATTCACCTTTGGACTTCTGAGAACTGAAACACCTCTAAAGCACTTCATTCAACATCCCTGGATCTTTAAAAATCTATCAGACTAGTACTTATTAGAGGACTGCTGGGTATCAGACAAGTGATGTTCTGCCACGTACAATTATTTCATCATTTTAAAAAACTTAAAGAAAATGTGTAAAATATTCCAGGTCTGTTCTGATCTCAAGACCAAATAGATTTTAGGTATTACCCATCTGAACAATCTTAACTGGTGTTCATTAACTTTGGTTTCTTAATTTAGTTTCTGCTGCTATGATAAACACCCTGACCAAAAGCAATTTGGGGAGGAGTCAAGGTAGAAACCTGGAGGCAGGAACTGAAACATTCCATGGAGGAATGCTTACTGGCATGCTCCCTCTGGCTTGCTCAGCTGCCTTTCTTAAATAGCCCAGAACTTCCTGCCTAGAGATGGCATGGCAGAGTGGGCTGGACCCTCCCACATCAATCAGCAACCAAGAAAATGCCCACAGACATATCCACAGGCCAGTCTAATGGAGGAAATTCCTTAATTGAGGTTCTGTCTTCCCAGACGACTCTAGTTTGTGTCAAGGTGACAGAAACTAAGCAGCGGAATCGCCTCCCGAATTTTAAGATGGAGTCAGAAGATATACATAGGACTTTCATAATTATTTTATGAGTTAACTTTGGAACTGATAAAGGCACAATTTGAGTGTATTTATTGAACAAGAAACCTGATAAAGAGGGACAGGGTCAATTATTCCAATACTTAAAAAAAAAAATCAACACAAACTGATAATGCCTTTCTGTGAAGTTTTCTTTATACATTGGAATCATACTATATACTAAACTGCTAGAAAACCATGGGAAGGAAGAATGGGGAACAACAGGTCCATAGGCATCCACTGTGCACTCTAGAAAGAGACATATCCAACAAGAAATAGGGTGACTCTCCATGGGGAGCCTCTACCCACACTTGGGTTTGTCTTATAATTCTTTGCCTTTCCCTTTTAGAAGCCCACACCTATGCTCTCCTTTGAATCTTACTTTCTTCAAGGCACCTCTCTGTTTCTCTTAATCCTTAAGCTTATACTTACACTAAAATCTTTACATTAAACCGCAACTGTACTTCATTTAAAATAAAGAAAATGAGGTGGCCTGGAGAAGGTGGCTGTGGAAACACTTTTGCCTCCACTGAATCATGATGTCAGCAGGAGTCATTCTAAAGATAAGGATTTATATTTTCTTTCTAATTCCATTATGAAGCCCCCAGATGGTAATTTTTAAAACATCTACATCTGAAGTATGCCAAAACCAAAATAATTTCATTGATTCTGGGTGTGTTGGTAAACACCTATAATCCTAGCACTAAACAGGGCTGAGGCAAGATCCTGAGTCCCAGGCCTCTAAAACTTAAGAGTTGAGCCAGGAGTGGTGGCTCACGCCTTTAATCCCAGTACTTGGTAGGCAGAGGTAGGCAGAGTTCAATGCCAACCTAGTCTGGGATACCCTGTCCCCCCAAAAAAAATTAGAGTTACTTGAAAGAGGGTGAGCTGAGAATACGAATGAGTCGTTTTCTATAGTAATAATAATAGTGATCTAGAGATGGGAGTGCATTCTAATAATGTACTTGCCAATAACACCTATTTTCACATATAACATGTATATAAATACTACTAACAGATACAAGTACATATACCAGGATTGAGGTAATAAGGAGGATGCACTGTCACATGAATTTATTCCCATTCATCTAGAGAAAGGAGATAAAATTAAGAACAGACTGTATGTGTAGCCCAGTAATTAAGTTCATGAGCAGCTTGTGTAAGGCCCTAGATTCCATCCTCAGTACCAACACATACACACAAAAATACCAAATACATTTTGCACACAGGTTTTGAAGCAATGGATGTAATGGTACATCGTAAAATACATAGACAGTAGATTAAATGTGTCATGGTCTAGCCTCGACAGCTTAGTAATACTTATTAAATTGGCTACAAGTTTCAAATAATCTCAAAACCAGTGTCTGAAATACAAACTCTTTTGCAGTTAGGGGGACATCCTTATCAGCTTTATCAAATCTCATTTAGTTAAGCTTCTCACCATGGTAACAAGCCCATTGCAGAAATACTCAAAGACATTTCATATCTAGAAAATTTGCTGTGTATTTTTTCACCACATATAATATCAAGAAAAGCATGCTTCAAAGGTACTATGTAATTAGAATGGCCTTTAAAACAGGCACAAAGGGAATCATTCTGATTAATATCCAATCTACTTCACAACAATCTTCATACTGAGAGTGAAGAGCATCACAGAAAAGAATCCTGAGGTGTTTTGGACCACATACTCTATTTTAAGTATATTATCTGTGATGCGGCTTCAGGTTAGAACTTCAAGTGCCTTTCATTTGGTTCCTATTGCTTACTTCTTCACTATTAAATGAAAGAGTACATGTGAGAAACTCTGGCCCAGGTGGCTGGAATTAGTTCTGCTGTGGTTCTCCATGGAAAAATTATGCCAGATTTCAGCTAATCATGAGCCTGGAGAGAACAGAGAACATAGTGGAGATCACAGGCTAGTAACCACTTCTGGGTTTACTGGCTATATGGATGCTCAAGAGCGGCGCCTCATTCCCGCCTGCATTCCATAGGCCTTCTAGGAATTCTAGTTGTCTTTGATCATCTTTTTTAATTTGAAGTCCAGCACCTGTATGGAGATTAAGAAGTCTCTTTTCTTCAGTGACTTGAGTCAACAATACTATGCTATACTCACCCAAGGAAAGAAAATAAAAGCATTTAAATTAACCTCATCCATTTTTTTACTCCTTCTGACCATATTTATATAATGCCTACTATATATAAATGCCAGTGCATGGACAATTCTAGCAATAAAGCTGCTTAACTAACTTGATCCTGGTAGTCTACTCTAACAACAATGACAACACGGCCACCACCACCACATCTTTGGAGAAAACTTAAGTACTGAGGGAATAGAGGGAGTCTGAAAAACAATCATACAAATTTAACTGTCAACTCTTAAATGGCACTTGAATCACATACCGTCAAACTTTTTGTAACGGGATGCAAAGGTGACTTGCAAATGATTGCACTGTTCACTGACCACACTTTTGAAATCATCTTTACTCTGCAGGCTGTACTTCTCTTCCATCTCTTGAGAACAGCAGGTATAACCTTGAGGGCAGATCTTCAAATGGTCACCTGAAAGATGAAAAGGTGGTCAGTCTATCACCATCCATTCACTAAGTCCAACAGAGAAGGGCCTGATTTTAAATGCACATGCTCTACTTCAACTTAGCCAGTGAGGTTCCTACGGAAGCCTGGGCATTGTGTGTATCAAAAAGTTTTTGGCACATAAAACCATTATTCACTTGTTGAAAAAATAAAATAATAAAACCCTCTCCAGAAAGCAGATGAGCTTTGTACTCAGGAAAATGTCTAAACCACAGGAAAATTGGTGTGGGACAGTAAGAACAACATCATTCAGTATCAACATAAGTCTCTTTTATAAATACCTCAAGGGTCTATGTTATATGCTGTGAGTTATGCAAATAAGAAACATTTTTCAGGATTTGGGAGTTTATGCTCCAAGAGAAAAAAAGAAGGGTTTACAAAATACGTAATAACAACCAAATATATAAGTACATGTTATAGGAAAATAATGAGCAAAATTATAAGCATGAGTTACACTGTGGGAAAGCAAAGGGTTCCATCCGTTTCAAGGGGTTGTCAGCACAAACAAAAACTATTGGGGGTTCATACTGGATAATCTGAGTCAGTGATAAATCATGAAGAAGTAACAGCAGACAATCGTCTATTTTAAGAGGGTTTTAAGAGGTATGCATCACCTTCTGTGCAGATACCAGACTATATCCACCTTTGTACTCTGTGCAGTACAGTCACTCATTCCTCATATTCTCATAGACCCATGGTTTCAAGTAAATGTAGTCTCTATGTAGTGATGTATCCCAGGATTAAGAAAATGTCAGAGAGCTCATTCCACAGTAGCCTAACCCACAAAGTATCTCTCCCTTTAGAATAACTACACTCTGCCTATAGTCCAGAGGTAAGGGCTCGGATGTATTCTTTCTATGAGTCTTCCTCCTTGTTCTTCCTCTGTCACAGAATAAAAACTGGGCTTTGAAGAGGCCAGTGACCTTCCCCTTTCAATGACCAAAGAGGTGCATTGAAGCTCAAACATAAAGCCCATCAGGTACCATGACTTCAGTCACTGATATTTACTGCTTTGGTTTAATTATATACACAGTCATAAGGATTCACTTTCAACGCTCTCCTATTGCAATATGTGTGTGTGTGTGTGTGTGTGTGTGTGTGTGTGTGTGTATGACATGTATACATGAGTGTCACAGTGTACATGTGAAGGTCAGAGGACAACCCTCAGGAGTCAGTTCTTTTCTTCCACCATGTGGGCCCAGGGATTGAACTCAGGATCACCAGGCCTACATAAAAAGTGCCTTCACCCACTGACCCATCTTGCCTATATATATATTATGATGAAGAGGGTCTGAAAAGAACCCAGATCTTAGGAACGTTGGCTTGGCACTGAGGCCATGTACTGAAATCATGGAAACTTGACAATGGTGTGTTGAAAAGACAGGGGGCCATGGAATGACTGGCAAATCTAGTGACATTTCCAAGGGAAAAGAAATGGGCCATTAGTTGTCCATCGCTACTATTTGGCTGTGTGTCCCTACAAGAAATAAGCCTTTACTCAACACAGACAGTAAAGGAGCTTTGGGGGTAGATGGAGGCTCTGCAGATAAAATGAAGTTGGCAGGTCATGTGATTTGCACAAGATTATCAATGGCACTGGTGACAATAATTTTATAGTCATGTATATTCCAGATCATTTGTTCTTGTAATTAAAAGGTAATGCAACTATACTACTACAAATAAAAGCATGTAGCATTAAAGGACGATCCTCAAATAACTTCTCTATCTAGAAACTATTGTTTCTTTGGGAATTTCTGAAAGTCTTGGCTAATAGGTAATTCTACGAACAGGCAAAAAAAGATTTAAGAAAGCTCATGAAATAAAATTTAGAGCTGTGAGGTTTTAGAATATCTCAGATCTCATTAGTGAAAGAAAAAGGGTTATTAGATTCAGTTTGATGGAAACATCTTCAGTAAAACTAAAACAAAAAGGCCTTCTTTATGGTTTGTTAGTATCAAAACACATAATTAACAAGGAGATACCCAGTTGTCTTCAGGTTTTGGGTTCCTCCCTTAGTCTTAACACATAAAACAGTATAGATGACCCTAGATGCAATGCTAGCATTGTATCAAACAACACACAAGCTCAGAACTTGACACACTCAGAGGGTGGGGTGCAAAAGTGAATTGCATTACTATATAGGAGCAGATTCTTTTTAAGATTGTCACAGACATGGAGGGGTTGGTTCAACAGATAAGAGGGTACGACTCTTCCAGAGGAACCAAGTTCTGTTCCCAGCACACACAATGGATGGCTCACAACCACCAGTAACTCTAGCTCCGGGGGATCTGGTACCCTATTCTAGTCTCTGTGGGTTCCATACTCATATGTACTAGCCCACAAGTAGACAGACACACACACACATACACATACATACACACAACTAAAATTAAAAATCTTTAATTGTCTCAGGCAGCAGGGCCTAATGGCTCATACCTTTAATACCAGCACTTAGGAGGCAGAGGCAGGCAAATCTTTGTGAGATCAAGACCAGCCTGGTCTGCTCTTCACAGTAACTTCCACTCCTGCCAGGGTTACATAGTCAGACCATGACACACAGACACACACAGACACACACACAGATTATCACCAGCAAAAATTCCTGCAAAGATAGTTATTTCTCAATACCCTGCAAAGATTCCATTGTGCCATGTACCCAATCTCGACAAAAAATCTGAGTCTGGAAAACCATCCATGTCTATCCAATCTTAACAGGAGTCACACACATAAAAAGGATCACTAATTAGATGTTATTAAAATGGGCTTCAAAGCTCAAAGCAAAAGGCTCTTTTCCCCATCAGCAATGTATGCATGCACCATGAAGCCACAGCATAGTGAAAAATCAATAAGGAACCATTTTATCTACTGAAGAAGGTTCTAAATGTTGAGGTTTGAACGTGGCCACAAGGTTTTTTTATACAGAGGAAACGCCCTTTAAGTTTTACTAGTAACATGCTGAAAGTTTACACTGAGCCATATAAAACCTCAGTGTGGCTAGGCACTGTATCCCCATCATGCTCACCAAGGTCTTCAGCAGGCTTAAAGAGACTTTGCTTACACTGAGAACAGTGAAGCACAGGTGTGTTTGGGTAATACCTAACGACAGCAACAAACCAGTGCACCTTCATTTTCAAGAGATCTTTCCAGAAAGACTTTGCCCTATAGGTGAAAGGCCTGCCTTGTGTAAAGGATGAAAATAAGATAAAGACATGGCTAATGTGTCAACTATCAAAGTCATCTTCCCCTCAGAGTTCTCATTCTGGTGCAATTATAGGCTTCAACATACCACTTACACTGTCCGCATTTACAAAAGAAAAGCATTCCTTGAAAATTTAATCTGACATTTTTGCCAAAAGTTCTGAGAAATGTTCAGACTAACACACACCTGTGAATTAAATCCCTTAGGCTACTAGGGATTCAGGGCCATGACCAGTCAATGTGGCTGAAAAGTTTGAGGAAAGGGGCAACAGTCTACTGCATTCGAACAAGGAATTATGGTGATGTGTCCGTCAGAATCACTGGGAACTCACTCAAGCAACTTAAGTATTTCTCTTTTTTAATCTTTATTAATTTATTATATGTGTATATGCATGTGTACACATGCTTATCATGTGGCAGTCAGAGGACAACTTTCAGGAATTGATTCTTTCTTCCACTATGTGAATTCCAGGAGTTGAACTCAGGTCATCAGGCTTGGTGGCAAGTGCCTTTTCCCACCGAGCCATCTTATTGATCCTTATGTTTTTTATAAACTTGAATATTTCATGACCAGGAATGTGGCTCTCTGGTAGAGTTTGCCTAACATATGGGAAGCCTTGAGTTCTATCCCTAGCATCACAGAGATGGAAATAAAAAAGGCATTCACAAGCATGCCTTATTTTGAAGTATGCATATTACTTGATTTGAAAGTTTATCTGTTTTATGTATTTGTTGTGTGAATGAAAGATGCCTTTTCTCTCAAAAGCCCTCCTTTCTAAGCTTGGTGATCCTATATATGCTCTTATTTAAGAAAGATACCACAGCTTTTTTGTTTAGGCCAAGGGACCCTGTCAGAGATATCTGAACTGATTTAGGACAGGTAGATAGCCACTCTGAGGCAGCATTGGGAACATGCTCTATACAATGACCCTAGATAATTCTGATACACATTTTTCTTTGAGAATTATCATGGGCAGGACTAGAGCACGGGCTGCTACTGCAGAAGACACAGGTTCCAATTCCAACACCCACTTGGTGGCTAGTAGCCATCCATAACTCCAGTTCCACGATATCTGGTGCCCTCTTTTGGCCTCCAGGGGCACTGCATTCACGTGCTGCACTTAATATGCAAGCAAAACACTCCTATGCAGAAAATACTTTTTAAAGAATTATCTGGGGCAGGAGAGATGGCTCAGTGGTTAAAAGCACTGACTGCTCTTGCAGGGGACCTGGGTTTGATTCCCAGCACCCACACGGTGGCTACAAACCATCTTTAACTCCAGTTCCAGGGGAATCCAATACCCTCTTCTGACCTCCACAGCATTGCATGACACGGGTGCACTCACATACATGCAGGCAATACACACATACACATAAAATAAAAATATGTATTTTTAAAAGTCAACATTTATAAAAGAAAAAAAACAATTATCACTAGAGGGACTAGAGAAATGGCTCAGCTGTTAAGGGCACTTCCTGCTCTTGCAGAGACCTTGGTCAAGTTCCTTAACGGTCATCAGTAACTCTAGTTCCAGGTCATCCAACTCCCTTGAATGCAAAACACTCATAGCCATAAAATAAAAAAAAATACTTCTTTTAAAAAGAAACAGTGCTAGAGCCAGGTATGGTTGTGCACACTTTTATTTCTAGCAGAGGTAGGCAGTGAGTTCGAGGCCAGCTTGGTCTCCATACTATGTTTCAGCCCAGTTAGGGCTACACAGTGAAACTCTGTCTCAAACACAACACAAAAAATTTACCACTGGATACAT